TTTCATATCTGATAGCTGTTTTACGATAGAAATTTTAAACGACTGACAAAAATAATCAGGAATGCAACTATTAAACTTGTCTAATTTTGGCATTTTCAATTGACGTGATTTATGTAATGTGATTCATAATTATCAATGTGAGGGGACAAGAAACAATATTAACGAAGCCGTTTTCATCATATATAAGGCATATGATTAATAATGAATGTGCACATATTGTGAATTTACTAAACTTAATTACGTAGCTTTCCTGGTAGCCTTCAGTAAAATAACTTGTTTAATAAAATTATTCATAAAATATAAAAATATCAGTCGACCATTTGTTTACTTTGTTCACTGACAAAGATGAAAATACTATCAATCAAAGCAGAGAGCTGGTATTGACAAATAATATACTGCCCACTGACATAGTTTTAAATTGGTATCCAAATGTTTGGCCTTCAATTATTTCCTCTTAAAATGCAAACATTAGGGCTGTCAAAATGGCTGAAAAACTAAATACGAATTTTATACTTAAATACTAGGGTTATATTCAAATTTAAAAGTCATAATTTCAGTTTATGGGGAAAATGCTTTTGTCTCCTGTGGCTACAAGAGGGTGCAGTGAATTCCAATATAATTTTTGCATTTGAATGTGGATTTTTATTTTAAATTAGACGAATATTCTAAATTCTAATTGTAATTTCACAGCCCTAGCACACGTGCAGTTCAGTGAATTTTTGTTTTTCTTAGGGGGGGGGGGATTTGGGACCTCGGTCATTTTAAAACCCTGGCTACGGCCCTGTTTCTGTCACAATTCGCTGGATGCACGAGGAAACGTAGAGATTTCTCAGAACGAGAGTCTTTTAATGATTCAAATAGGAGACACAGCGCTCAAGGATGACGTTCACAACAAGTAGATCCGACAAACTAAACTGAACAGACTGGGGCTTATAAACACAGGATAATGAGGGACAAAATAGACACAGCTGGAATCAAATTAACTCGAGGAGAAACTGGGTCACGGGGAGCAAAACACACACAGACAGTCCAGAACCCTGACAGGTTCCTTGATATGCTTTTTTTATTCTCAAGCACAGACAGCCGCTGATTTGCATTTTATGAATCACCAAGGACTACACTGTAAAAAATAAGTGTAATTTTAACTGTAAAATTTTGCTCTGTTAATAGGTTAACAGTAAGTTCCCATACTATATACAGGGAAAAACGGTAAAATATCTAACCAGACATTTCATGTAATTTTACAGTTTTTAGAAGTAAAAATAACAAATCAATGTATAATTTACAGTCAAAAACTGTAAACTGATTATGTTAAAGGTACAAAGCAGATTTTAATAGCAGTGTGCATTGTTGAATTGACTGGTTTACATACAAATTGTCTTGTTTGTAAATTACAGTTTTATACTGTAAAATTTACCGTTTTTGGCCGTTTACTGTTTTTCTGTATTTTTTACTAAATTATTCTGGCAACCACAGCTGCCAAAATTATTTTGTAAAAACTACAAAACATTTTTTACAGTGTATGATTTCAGCTAAAAATCTTCTTTACTCTTCTACTGAAGAAAAACAGTCATCTATATATTGGACGGCCTGAGGTTGGTGTTTAGTGTTTGCATGAATGACTCTGTGCACCTTCTATATATTAGTATATACTTCTGCTTGTGGCGAAGCTACTTGTGATGAGCTTTGATTCTTCATGTGGCTTTCTCTTTTACCACCTGCATTATTATGGTGGTTGTCAGTATGTTAAAGGTACAAAGCAGATTTTAATAGCAGTGTGCATTGTTGAATTGACTGGTTTACATACAAATTGTCTTGTTTGTAAATTACAGTTTTATACTGTAAAATTTACCGTTTTTGGCCGTTTACTGTTTTTCTGTATTTTTTACTAAATTATTCTGGCAACCACAGCTGCCAAAATTATTTTGTAAAAACTACAATTTTTTTTTTTACAGTGTATGATTTCAGCTAAAAATCTTCTTTACTCTTCTACTGAAGAAAAACAGTCATCTATATATTGGATGGCCTGAGGTAAATTAACAGCACATTTTTATTTTTGGGTGAACTATTCCTTTAAGATGTTTTCTCATCTTATTATAGACTCGGAGAATGTTAATGACATTCAGATTAAGCATAACCAAAAACTGCAAATAAATAAACATTGTTTGCTTCATTTATTAATCATTTTTAAATTTGAGGGCATCCATAAAAGAAGGTCTCCAAAGTATAGTAAGTAAACACAGAAATTCTCTCCCTCAAGCACACGCGCACACACACAGACTTCCTCCCACACAATAACACACACTTGTTAGTATGCTTGTTAGTATGCATGTGCACATCCTCACTAACTAAAACATATATGCACGCAGAGGTTCAGAGGGCATGTATGAGCTCAAAGACCTCATGACACCTGCTGTGATTGCTTGTGGTCACTCTTCTGGGAGGAATAAGGTCAAAGATCACGTACAGTTGTGGTTGAGGATATCTGACTGAATTTACGATTCCCTGTAGGTGTGAGATCTGCCGGCATGTTCAGTTAAGTATTTGGCTTCTGGTGGTATAAATGGGAAACTGTACTACACCTTTCAGGTCACTCAAGGTCATTCCAATCAGCGTTGCCATTTAAAAGTCAGATCAGCAGTCGTGAGGCTGAAATTACAGGTCACTGTTTTCAGTAATCAACTGGAAAAAAACCTTTTGGCTCCTCACGTGACGTCACTGAGGAAACACACTGAATGTGTGTGATATCAAACACTTACAAAACTAAAGAAACTACATTTACTGAAGAAAATGTTGCTAGAATGTTCGATGTGGTTGCAAGGGTGTTGCTATGCAGTTTCTAGGATGTTCTATGTGGTTACCAGGGTGTTGCTATGCAGTTTCCAAAGGGTTCTGAGTGGTTTCCAACATGTTGATCAGTGGTTGCTATACAGTTACTAGGGTGTTCTATGTAGGGTGAACTTTGGCGTTAGTTAAGTGTTCTGAGTTGTTTTTAGTGCTTTGCAGTTACTAGGATGTTCTATGCGGTTGCCACAGTATTGGAAGTGGTTTTCAGCATGTTGCTTGGTGCTTGCTATAGTATGTGGTTGCTAGGGAGTTGCTATGTGGTTTCTAAGGTATTCTAAGTGGTCTTAAGCATGTTGCTTGGTGGATGCTGCAGTATGTGGTTGCTAGGGTGTTGCTATGCAGTTTATAAGGTATTCTAAGTGGTTTTCAGCATGTCGCTTGCTTGGTGGTCACTACAGTATATGGTTGCTAGGGCATTGCTATGTGGTGTCTAAGGAATTCTAAGTGGACTTAAGCATGTTGCTTGGTGGTTGCTACAGTATGTGGTTTGCTAGGGTGTTTCTATGTTGTTCCTAAGGTATTTTACGTGGTTTTCAGCACATTGCTCATTGTTTGTTCAGTATGCATTTGTTAGGGTATTCTGGGTGGTTGCTAGACCATTGCTAGGTGTTCTCTGTAGTGTTTAACACGTTGCTATAGTTTCCAAAGGGTTCTGAGTGGTTTCCAACATGTTGATCAGTGGTTGCTATACAGTTACTAGGGTGTTCTATGTAGGGTGAACTTTGGCGTTAGTTAAGTGTTCTGAGTTGTTTTTAGTGCTTTGCAGTTACTAGGATGTTCTATGCGGTTGCCACAGTATTGGAAGTGGTTTTCAGCATGTTGCTTGGTGCTTGCTATAGTATGTGGTTGCTAGGGAGTTGCTATGCAGTTTCAAAGGTATTCCAAGTAGTCTTCAGCATGTTGCTTGGTAGTTGCTACAGTATATGATTGCTAGGGCGTTGCTATGTGGTTTCTAAGGTATTCTAAGTGGTCTTAAGCATGTTGCTTGGTGGATGCTGCAGTATGTGGTTGCTAGGGTGTTGCTATGCAGTTTCTAAGGTATTCTAAGTGGTTTTCAGCATGTCGCTTGCTTGGTGGTCACTACAGTATATGGTTGCTAGGGCATTGCTATGTGGTGTCTAAGGAATTCTAAGTGGACTTAAGCATGTTGCTTGGTGGTTGCTACAGTATGTGGTTTGCTAGGGTGTTTCTATGTTGTTCCTAAGGTATTTTACGTGGTTTTCAGCACATTGCTCATTGTTTGTTCAGTATGCATTTGTTAGGGTATTCTGGGTGGTTGCTAGACCATTGCTAGGTGTTCTCTGTAGTGTTTAACACGTTGCTATGGAGTTGCTAAGGTGATGTGGGTAGTCACCAGAGCATTATTATGCAGTTGCTAGGGTATCTTGGGTAGTCTATGTGGTTCTTACCGGTCCAAGTTAAAAGTCAAATTTTATCACCCACTTTAAACTTCTTATTATAACAGACACCACTAATAAACAAATAACAGAAATGCAAAACTGTAGACTCATGTATAAATGCTGTACACTCTAAAACACATGCGCACACACAAACACACATCAAACACAAGCACATACAGATCCCACACACAGATGACTCACTCTCTAGGGTTCACGCACCGTCATATATGTATGACACGCATCGGGAATCAATTAGCTTTGACTCACAAAAGCGAGCCAAACAAACGAGTCGGTGAAGAACCGTGCGGCGGGGTTCCACTCCATCTGTCTAATGAGCCGCAGGACCATCCTATCAATCACCCTTTACACTGATTGATCAGCATGGAGACCACATTATTATTTCACATGTTACTACAAAATCCTGATTGTGAAGCTACACATAGAAAAATACAAATACTCATTCTGTAGGTCCTCTGTTTACTCATTTGTTTTGGAGGAGAAAAATCTAAGTTGATACTTAACTGAGAACACAATTAATTCTCCCAGGCTATGAAAGACATAAAATATTAAATCTGTCATGTTATAGAAAGGTCAGAAACATTTAAATTACACAAACATACATGCAAATGTTTGGTCAACGCATTGCAAACGTTCCAGCCCATTGTACAATCAAATGCATATATAATTGTCTAAAATAGTTAGTAAATATTTATAAAAAAAGAAAAAATTTCGGTAAGTGTGTGTGTAACTCACCAGCTTGCGTTGACACCATCCGCAGACGCCGCAGAGAGCCACCAGCCAAACACCACACACGGTTACCGCCAACGACACCAGCAGCACGCTCAAAGAGAAGGAGCCTGTGAAACACACACACAATGTTAATATCCAAGCATAGGGGGAACAGTCTGACATTTACTCTGACGAGAACGCTGAGATTTTATGAAGTCTCTGAAGTCCTAAAGATCAATATTTTCATGATGGGAACAAATGTGACTGGAGAACAAAATCAAAAAGGGAGAAAAAGACGATTGGAGAGGGAAAGAGGGAGAAAAATATGTCACTAAAGTGTTTTAGATATAAAATATGAGATGTGCCAAGACCGAAAACATACTGTATCAATATCGAACACTTACAAATGCAAGATCAACATGTAAAAACACAAGTAATGTAGATTTGTACAATATTCACTGAAGAAAATGTTCTCTGAAGAAACAGTGCATGCACAAAACTGGTGTTGCTATGCAATTGCGAGGATGTTGTATGTGGTTACCAGGGTATTGCTATGCAGATGCAATATGGTTTTCAGCATGCAGCTTGGTGGTTGCTACAGTATGTGGTTGCTAGGGTGTTGCTATGTAGTATTTTAAGTGGGTTTCAGCACATTGCTTGGTGGCTGCTACAGTGTGTGGTTGCTATGTGGTTCCTAAGGTTTTCAAAGTGGTTTTCAGCACACTGCTTGGGGTTGCTAAAGTATGTGGCTGCTATAGTGTTGCTATGTAGTATTTTAAGTGGTTTTTCAGCACAATGTGTGGTGTTTGTTACAGTATGCGGTTGATAGGGTATTCTGGGTGGTTGCTAGAGCATTGTTAGGTGCTCTGTGTAGTGTTGAGCATGTTGCTATAGAGTTGCTAAGGTATTGTGGGTAGTCACCAGGGTGTTGCTATACAGTTACTAGGGTGTTCTAGGTAGGGTACACTAGGGTGGTAGTTAAGGTGGTTTTACTGGGTTTAGTGCGTTGATGTGCAGTTGCTAGAATGTTCAGAGTCACTGTCAAGGCATTGCTATGCCATTGTTAAGGTACTGTAAATGATTTTCAGCAAGTTGCTTAGTGGTTGCTATAGTATGTGGCTCTTAGGGTGTTCTGGGTTGTGGCTGGGTCGTTCCTATACTATCCTATGTTTCTCGGTGGTTGTTACAAAATGCAGTTGTTAAAATGTTTTGGTTGGTTGCCAGGGCATTGCTATGCTGTTGCTAATTATTTCCAAGTGGTTTCCAGCATCTTATTTGGTGGCTGCTACAGCATGTGCTTGCTAGAACATTGCTATGAGGTTTCTATGTGGTATTCTAAGTGATTTTCACAACATTGGTCGGTGGTTGCTACAGTATGCAGTTGCTAGGGCATTTTGGGTGGTTGCTAGAGTATTGCTAGGCGTTCTGTGTGGTTTTTTGCATGTTGCTAAGGTGTTGTGGGAAGTCACCAGGGCATTGCTGGGATGTTCTATGTTCTAATGTTGTTGCCAAGGCAATGCTATGCAGTTGCCGAGGTGTTGCTATGTGGTTATTAGGGTGTTCTTAGTAGGGTGCACTTGATAGGTGTTCTAAAAGGATTTTACTGTGTTGCTCTTCAAACTGTTGCTCTGCCATAACAGTAAATGAGCTGAAAGATATGTAGCTAAAAGAGTCTACATATACATGATTACATAGACTATAGATTGTGTTTCGGATGACAATGACACATGAAATCGAGCTTGCTAAGCTAGAAGTGCCTGCATTAGGATACATAATAACAAAGGAAACTGTAGCGTAGAGTGTCTGGTATAACATACATGTAGTAGATCAGTTCTGAGGACTGCAGACGGGAGACACAGAGAGAGACAGGAAGGAACCTGACAAAATATGATGAATGGACACATCTGCAGATGGAGGTGGAGGGAGGAGATGGAGGGATGGATGGATGGTTGAGGGGAGGGAGGGACAGGAGTAAAGAGTGATAAACGTTTAAGATTGATCTCTCCTGTGAACTGAAGGGACAAAGCGTGATGCACTCATGCAATCAGTGTGTGTGTGTGTGTGTGTGTGTGTGTGTGTGTGTGTATCTGTCCATATAATCCTCAGGCTCTTTGAGCTGCTGTTCCAGCACAACCTTGTGAAATGAAAGCAGAAGCAATGCTTCAGAAAGAGCTTCTATTCCACATCAACAGTGCCTTAGTGTCATATTCTAAATAATAGAAAAGACTGTGGAAAATAAATAAATAAATAAATTAATTAGAATTCCAAACATTTTTTATGTTAATATATAACAAATATTAAATATTTAATCAAATGTATTTTATTATTTTATATTTTATTATTATATTTACATTTATTTTAAATTTGATTTTTTTAAAAATTATTTTACATATTATGTAATATATTTCTATTATAAGCAACATGCTAAATACAGACCCTCTTCCCTAAATTATTTTAAAATGATACATACAATTATTAAATATAAAATGTATTGAAATTAAATGTTCCACATATAGTTTTCTATTAATAGCAACATGCTAAACAGACATCCCTAAATAATTAATAAGCTCCACAGCAACATACGGTACTTAACACCTAAACAAAGAACACCTACACTAGCAATACCCTAGCAACCACTCAGAGCACCCTAGCAACCATTACCATAGCAACCACCAAGCAAATCTAGCACAGGATCCCCAGTTGTAGTTAATTATATTAACTATGAACATGTCCCACAAACAAACACAATGTCGTCTTTTTTACATCTGTTGTTTTGTTTCAAACCGTACACACTTCTTCTTATCAGTCGTCAGTCGTGGCCTAATGGTTCGAGAGTTAGACTTGTAACTTAAAGGTTACAAGTAAGGCACCGAACTCCCAACTGATCCCCGGGTGCCGCAGCAAAAATGACTGCCCACTGCTCCGGGTGTGTGATCACTGTGTGTGTGTGTGTGTGTGTGTTTGTTCACTACCCACTGCTGTGTGTGTGGACTTGGATGGGTTAAATGCAGAGCACAAATTCCAAGTATGGGGTCACGTCATGTCATGTTACTTCACTTATCACATGTTTTGCTTAAGCTATATTTCTTTAGAATAAATGTAACAGTCATGTTGCATTACTCTACAAACATGAACGGCAGTGAAATCACTTTCTGACACGGAACTTAAACGTGTCCAGATCTGCTCCAGTAAAATGTAGTGTTTGGAATTGCATACTACCTTTGTCAAAATGCAGTGCACAAAAAACTGTATGCCACAATGCAATGCTTTCAACTTCATGTTGCAGTTCCAGTGCAAATGAATCAGAAGTGACATCAACTGCGATTTTTTGTTGAACATTTCCTAGCTTTTCCTTGCTAGAACAGCATACATACTCATATATATATATATATATATATATATGTGTGTGTGTGTGTGTGTGTGTGTGTGTATAGGTTTATTATTGCAATCTAAAACTATAAAAACATTTTTGTTACTTCAAATAACAAACATTAACTGAAAAATTAAAATATATATATATATACATATATAATATTTATTTGTAAAAAGTACTAAAACTACTAAAATGTAATAAACTAAAACTAATAAATAAAAAATTATAATATATAGACATAAAAAAATAAATAAATAAACAACAAAAACTCAACAAAATCACTAAAACTAAACTTTTTAAAATTAAAAACATATTTTATTTCAGTTTGTTGCCAAAGCAACATTTTATTATTTTCGTTTAGTTTAAGTTGAAGTACTAAAATAAAACTAAATAAACCGAAAACTAATAATAAAATATGACAAAAACACACAACAAATTTACAAAAACTTTATTATTTATTATTATTATTATTACTTTTTTAATTTAACATTGCATATTGCATACTGTTATATATACTACATTTTTTAAAAGTAATATGCAGTCTGCAATGCGTCAGCCTGAGCCTAAGCTCAAGGTTTGGCTAATCAGGTCAAGGATTGTTTAGTTTGCATGACCCTCTTAGCCTCTGCTGGTAGATAGTGTAAATGGACACAAGAATCATCTTTCTCCACTGACGGCCATTCAAAACTGTCCATGTATTCTGAGAAACACACAGACTCTGACAGGCGCTCACCGGCTAAACACACAGACAGACAGACAGCAGCATCAGCGCCGGACGCTTCCCTGCTGAAGCAGCTGATCAGGAGCACAGCAGAAACACTCCAGAAAACAGCCTGTGTTCAAACGTCCTCAAGCCCTGAATGAGCCAGTGCTCAAAACAAGAGTAGGTCTGAGATCAGAGGACAGCAGACGTGACTCTCTAAAGCAGCAGGCAATAAAACACATCTCTTGCATGCTAAGCTAGTAAGAGACAAAGCAACCAGAAGTCATTCATTTTCACTGACAGCTGATTTAAGGGATTCTGCTGTTATATTCATGAATAAATGCACATTGATTTACAAATAGAAAACTGGTTGACAAATAAAATGAGGTATGCACAAAGCTATTTTAGCTACAGTACAAAATTAAGAGGTATTTGATGCAAAAATGCACAGTAGAAATTTAAAGATTAAAAAAAAATTTATGATTAATTTGCATTCAATTTGCTGAATTAATTGTTTATAAAGCTATGAAAGAACTATATACCACAAATGAAACTAAATGGAGATATTGTTGTGTTCTTAGAGATAACTATAGCATATATATATATATTAGTGATGCAAAGTCCGATTCATTTCCGTGAACCGGATCTTTTCAGACAGATCGGCTCATTGAAGTTAATGGTGTTTGTGGTCACAATTTCATTTGCGGATCCTCCGATACGACTGACTGAGCAATATTGACTAACCTACAACTTGGATAAGATTCCTAAAAGTTTCGCACCTACAGCACACATTACAGACATTGATGCACAAACGCGGATATGTTCTACATGTCTACAGTATAAAGAATGAATAAACCAGTCTTATAAACTCCTTGATTTCGCTTAAGCAACTTTAAATATAATATTCATGCACAATAAACTATTGTAAAATTTATTTACATCACTCGTCAGAAAGGTTTTTGCAGGGTTTAATAAAATGTAAATTAATAAAAGTCATAATAAGCATATTTCCAGTACGCGCATCAGGTTTGCACAGTATCATCAACTCAACT